ATATGTGTACAGATATATATGTGTACAGATATTTATGTGTACAGATATTTATGTGTACAGATATTTATGTGTACAGATATATATGTGTACAGATATATATGTGTACAGATATTTATGTGTACAGATATTTATGTGTACAGATATTTATGTGTACAGATATATATGTGTACAGATATATATGTGTACAGATATTTATGTGTACAGATATATATATGTACACACACACACACTTCTCTATAGTGCAGCCTTTCCTCTCCTTGCCCCTGGACTCTGTGATTGCTCTCCAGCTCTCCCTGCCCTACAGGAAGGCAGGGCATCCCTGCTTTCCTTCAGCCATCTACAGAATTACTATTTGGGCAACCAGTTTTGGCACTTTGGACAGATGATTCCCTTTCCCCAACCCAGCCCAGCAGAATACCTACCCCTTCATCACTGAGGCATTTTTACCCCGTTGCTACATTCCTCAACTGATCCCAACTGTGGTCACTGTGGCTGTGAGCATCTGTTCTCCCTTTAAAGACAAACAAAACTAGTGCTTCTCGCTTCAGCTTCTGTGCAAACACCCAACCCTAAAATTATCAGTCAAAGGTTTAATTCTTTCAGTAAATAAAAGGAAATACCTGAATATGGTTGGGAAACCTCTGACCATCATCATCTTGGAAAGACGATAGGCACTATTTGTTTTCAAGTTTACACATTTGGAAAGTAAAGTGTATGTTTCCTAAGCATGACAACAACTCAGTACACCCTTTGCAGTGTAGGTGCATGCCTCAGATATGCAGTTTCCCTGGGAATGGCATGTACTGCTGTTGAAATTCAAACTTGTTTCTCAAATGCTGCTCTACAATTTGTAGCACTAAAATCAAATGACCATCAAAAAAAAGGACCAAAAAAATAAAAAGGGAGTGAAGGACAATGAGACAGAAACTATTTTCAAAATCCAATTTGCCTTCACACTCAAAATGCACTTATATATTGATAGGGGGATATGTCCATACTGCAACTTAACAAATATATGGTTTAGCAGAGACAACCAAAACATTATAAAAACAGACCATAGAGTGGGCCAGCAACTAAGGTGTTTTAAAGTAACTTTTTGTCCTGAATAGAATTTTTCTAAGTCCCACTTTTGGCTGTACAACCGGTTTGAAGAGAAATCCAGTTCTTGCTTCCTGCGTGGCTTTGTCTCTTAGTTCACATAGTAAAGCCAATAGACAATATTGAAGAAGGAAAAAACCACGGGGAAGAAGATGCGGGACCACCGATCGATGGCGTTGACGTCAGTCAAGTCCGGGATGGTGATTTTGAGCTGCGAGGCCCTTCTCCGTAGCCGGCTCTTCTTCTGGGCCACGTGTCTCTCGAGGGCGTTGCGGCCGAAGCTGTGCCGGGGCAGCCCGGCCTTGCGGTACTGGATGCTGGAGGTGTCATAGGCCAGCATGGTGCTGCGGGGGTCTCCCAGCCCCATCACGGCCTCCGAGGCTGCCATCTCGTTCTTGATCTCCAGGGTGCTCAACAAAATGTTCTCGTGGGGGTCCATCTGCAAAACACGGAGAGCAGAGTGAGCGGGGCAGAGGGAACCCCGCGGCTGCCAACCGAGCCATGCTGGGAGGGGGACACCTAACCCTGCTCCCTGGGGGTGGCAGCCTCTCTGAGGGACCTCAGGCATTCACTGTCATCTCTTGGGAACTCAACAGCAACAGGGCCAGTACAGGGCAGGGCAACAAAGGGCATTGCCCCAGACCCACGTTCAGCAAGCACAGGCTGGAAATGAAGTCCACGCTCAGCTCCTGAAGGTGGGATTCTGGGAAGGGCATCTGGGGAAAACATTGAAATTTCCAGGGGTTTTGAGGGGAAATCAAATGGAAGAGTCTGCTTTGTTTCAGTTTTTCTTCCTTCAAATGAAAGCTTCTGCTCTGACAGAAATGTCAAGTACTCACAAGGTCTCTCTGTCCCTATACAAGGCACAGGGCACTGCACAAGTGAATGCACGTTTCTGTCCCAATATTCCAACCAGGACTGGTGTTTACCTGGGAAAAGGCACCAGCTAACTATACCTGTGTGGAAACTATTCCCCAGTGCTAATGAGTTGCATAAATACAATGCATGCTGTGGAGACCTCCGTGCTGGGGCAGCAGAGATCTCCAATTTCAAGCAAGGAAAAAGAGATGCAGAATGTAATCACATCAAATGTACACTGAACAATTGTTTCAATGGGTAGATTTAGCTACTATGCATTTTTTTAAAGGCAGCTCAGTGAAAAAAATATTAATGCAATGTTGTAAAGAAACCCCTTAGACAATCAGGAGGATTTCAAAGATAAGGAACTAAATTCTACTCTTAGGCGATCTGGAGTAGATCTGAAGTATGGCAGGAGAAATTAAAAATAATCCATTTATAGAAAACAAATATGAAATCATTTAGGAAGTTCTAATTCTCCTCAGCCTTCCCTCTAAATATACATTTTGAATTGTGTGATTAAAGAGTATAATTAACTAAAAATACTTTAAAAAGAAATAACAGCTAATGAGAAGCTAATTAATTACACTGCCTTAGTGATGGTAGTGCAGATATACTCCAGGCCAAATAAGAGACAAACTTGTCCCAGAGCTCCTTTAAGAATAGCTCAGCCACATGACTCGTGCACACATTCCTGTGTACGGAATATATTCCATGGTTATTGCTCAAAGTGCACAAACTGCCACTTCTGGGGATTTCTGAACAATAATATGGAATTCTTCCATCTGTAATGTTTAGAATCCAGCCCTCAGCAGCAGGTACCTCCTGCACTACCCAACACACTGTATTTGCCATCATTAATCCTCTCTGGAATACTTCCCATGGCACTGGGAGAGAACTGGGGTGACAACAATTGCTTTCAGCAGCACCCCCTGCACAGGTTCTGCTCTGGGAAGGTGCTCACAGGAGTACTTTGGACCTACTGAAACACTGTCATTTGAGTGATTACATCTGTTCCAGTGATGCACAAAAACTGCCATTGCTGAGATGCCACATTTCCCTCTCTCTCACTTTTTTTCCCACCCAATCTGTGTGAGTTTGCACCCCTCTAGTTTCAGTATATTTGAGTTTTAAATTAGATGTAGTGACTTAATGTGAAGCAGCCAAAATCTTCCATTTTTGTTTGCTTTCCATCAAAGCCAGATGAAATCTTTGAAGTTTCTAGTGTGTTAGGGAAATCCATTTTTTTTTTTCAAAAGCACTGGAAAAATGGGAAAGTTGAGCTGAAACTCGAGAAAAATTAATTTAAGCACAATACTGAGCATGGTGAGGAAACAGTGTGTTCTAGCCAGGAAGGCCATCAAACTGGTTCTCACCTGCATCAGACAAAACTAAGGTAAAACCAGTATTCTGCCATTAAAACAAACAAAAGCATCCATGTGGAAATGGTGTCAAACAGATCTATGAAACTCTGAAAGGAGCTTTCAAACATTCTCTTATAATGAGTGCAGTTATTTAGAAATTCTTATGTGATTTTTGGGTGTAAGATAAAATAGGCTGTCCTTTTTGTTACAAGATCTCAGACCAATCATAAGACTTTCAGGATCCTAAAAATAGAAGCCATTAATTACAGGCACTTGGCATTCACTGATCCCAAGAATGTCTAAAACCCAAAGAGGTAAGTATTTTACAAGAGGGGTGCAAAGTCATTTGGAAACTACATTTTCCATAGTTTCATGTGACCTTAAGAGAAGGAGTTTCAGTTCCAGTGACATCAGGGGAAGTTTGACACAACATCCACTAACATGGTGATTTTACCCCTTAGCCCAGAGCCTGCTTATTTTCACCTCAATGTTGTGCATTCTAAAATACTATTTTTGGAAAGATTTTAGTGCCAACAAATGTGTTCACATCTTAAATCTTCTTAGGGTGAATCTACTTTAAGCATTTTATCCTTTTGATCTGCAATGATATTAGAAATTTGAGTTCTCTTTACATACTTGCATACATTCTGTGCAACACATGCAAGGAAGTTATTTTAGTTACTAGAGTTAGATACAGACACGTTTTAGTGACAGAGCATTCCTTCAGTTAACTTGTTTTCTTAATACAGCAAACTGCTGCAGATATCTGCTAATCCTGAAGCAGTTAGTAAGATTAGTGATGCTGGGCAGAAAAAAACATTTAGCAATGTTCTAAACTATCTTCTGGGGCAAAGTGTCTTCTCCTGCCATGTATCACACTGATATCAGAGCTGAAGGACAGCATTTTTCAATATTCCAAGAATTTTTCAGAAGAAATAATGAAAAATACAGTAAATATTAGTGATGGGCGAACCTTCAAGTGTTACAATAACCAGGCAAACACCACAAAGTTCAGGTGCTTCTTGAGCATTAAGTTGACCTTCCTGCACCTGAAACAGTGAGCTGACCATAAGAGCAACTGCATTTTTTCGTGGTACTTTGAATTCCCAATGTAAAGGAACTCCCAAAGTTCCAATCCAGAAGTACAAATGAAGAAAGAAAGAAATAAACAACAAAGAACTCAGAATAAATTAACCCAACTCTCCAACCTTGGACAGAAGGCTCCCTGTCAGCTCAGAGAAAGCTGGGAATGAAATTTCCACCAAGTAGGTTCGCCCAACCCTAAATAAAACATGCTCCTGGAACTAAGTGACCCTGGGCCAGAATGCCAGGGAATCCCAGCTCTTGCCAACAGCAGCCCCCGTTCAAAGGATCCCAAAGCGCTTTAGGAGCATCACAAAGAGGAAGCACTTGAGTTCCCAGTGAAGCACCATCACCCCAGAGGTGAAATGTGGTGACTGACAGTGCAGAACAACAACCAGATTTTACTGAGGAATGGAGAATGTTGTAGCCAATTGGAACTATGGGTGGGTGAGGGGTGGTGGGAATGCTGGGCAAGCAGAACAGTCACGGAAATCGAGATCTGGGGCTGAGATGACCACGCCATAAAAAAGTGCCATGGGACCTTTAATGACCAGAAACGGCCAAGACCTGAATTTTAAGTGTCTGAGGATAAAAACATTAGAAAACAATGAAAGATACCTTTGTTGAATACATTTCTGGACAATGATATGTGCCAATTATTCTTCTGTCCTGTAAGTTAATAAAATCAAGACCAGTTTCCTTAGAGATAAGGCAGCTATTATCTTTCATTTAAAATTAAAGCACTCTAGGGTAATAATAGGACAACTAATTAAAATATATAGGGACCTCTAAGCCAAAAATTAGGTATATTCAGGTATATTTTGGCTTCAGAGGTGCTATTACTGCCTTGCTCTGCTCCTCAAGGTAACATAACATTGTGATGTAAATGTAATTTTTCCAACTGGTCACTTGACCAAGGAAGGTATGATGATATGAAAACAATTATTAAAATTATTCTGGGGGAAAAGTAAGTGCAAAAGTGGTTTCAAAAGGAGGTGGAAGAAGGTTAAAAAGGTCTCTTGGTGTTGAAGGATTGTTCAGCCATAGAACACAGACTCTTTATGGTGAACAGCAGGGTTCAAACTGAATGGAGAAATTCCCAGGGACGAGAAAGGAAGGGAGGATGAAGATGAAAAAGCAGCAGCAAGTACCATGGAAATAAAAGGTGAAAGCAGAAGTGGAGCAGAAATGACCAGAGCTCAGCAACCAAGTGAGAGGGTGAGGTTTGGATAAATCAATCTTAAAACCGGATGACAAAATATATGGTGCAAGTGATACTCATTTATAGGTCCAGGTCAAGTGGAAGAAAAGCTGACTCTGGAGCCCTGGAAGAGGCCACGACCTTTTTGGTGGTCTCAAACAAAGGGAATACAGAGAAAAGTGCAGAAATGTTACCATTATATGTTCTCCCTGATACCTAGAAACTCCAAAATGATGGCTTTCTTGAGGAATTCCTCTCACTTATACATTAGCAAATGTAAAATACAACAAAATTACAACTCCCACACACATACATCAGGAATCCTCCAAGGATGACCAGATCTCTGGAACAACTGACTTTCAGTAAAGCAGCACATTGGTGATTATGCTCTACTGTTCTACCAAACACAGCTTGATAACACTGATGAACTGAAAGGATATAATACTGACATTCCTGTTTTCTCACATACTGTCCATTTTCACCTACAACCTTTAATTACAGGCAGGCACTGATGGCTCCTTTCGTGGCAGAATGGCTCAGAAGCTGTGGACACAACAGGCAGCAGGGATGAAATTTCCCATGGAAAAACCTTCTGAAACAAAACAGTTGTAAATTGAAAAGAAATATCCTTTTGTTAAGTAGGGCTGCCATTAGCCAAAGACAAATCTGGAGAGCTAAACCATGAAGTTTAAAATGGAAGTACCCAGTCTATCCCAAAGATTAACACCTGAGATGTGGCATTTGGGTCCTGTGAACAGACACTCTGAAGAACTGAAGACAGAAATAAAGCTCCCTTTCCCAGTGAAGACCTACATGACATGCCTAGATATCTAATTTAACTTGTTCTAGATAAAGACCTTGGTGTTATCTATAGCACAGTGTCCCACCTCTGGACATCTGAGCTTTGCTTGGAAAATCAGCAACATCCCATTCCTGGCTCCTGTCAGCACCTCTGGCAGGATCAGGTGGAGTCTGCAGTGAAGTCTGAAGCACTTCTCGTGTGACAGGGATGTTCCCCCTCCCCAGCAAGGTCTGAGTGACTGCCTGGGAACCCCTGACCTCTGGGGCTGCCCTGCCCACACCAGGCAATGGGGGGGAGGTACATTAGCTCTGCATGAGCTGCTCTCAGGTTCACTCTGGGAGAAAAAAGAATTAATTATTTCCAAATGGCACCTGCCTAAAGCTATACAGACATTTTAACAAGATAAGCCAGTCTGCTAGATAAAGCCACAGAAATTTATAGCACACAAATGCCCAATATTTCAAAATATTGTCATATTCAACAATGGCTTTAGCAGTGGAACAAACACAGCATTTCCACTGCCTGTACAAAACTGAATTTCCTGCCAGCACTGGAGTTACTGTTTATGAAACTAGGCTAGAATGCACTGGCTCAGGTCGTGTTATACCCCCGAGATTTGGGTCAGGCTGTACAGCACGTGGTTAGAGGGCAGTAAAATTGGGATGACTCATAATTTCAGGTTACTTTGCTTGGTGTCAGGTTAGAAAATTCAGAAAAACTCTGAAAATTAAATAAGATTTTTGTTTAGGTTCTTGAACTTTTTAAAGCCTAGAAATCTAAGCAAAAAAAACCCCTAAGAAACCTGCAAGAGTTAAAAACAAAAGTGAAAAAAAAATGCAAGATCTGAACATGGAGTTTTAACATTGCTCTAGATACTTGTAAATCAATTTCTAGACATCCAGTTTTACGTTCTGATACATGTAACTTTGATCATGGTCTTCAGTAACACATCAATAACTCAGCTGCAAGTACTGTAGGATTACAGAGAAATGGTTGAAAACACACTTCCTTCGGCATCCAGGGCTTAAGTACAGGATTCCATACTGGAGACACTGAAGAACTATTCCCACATAAAATGACAGAGGCTGAAGCATCTTTGGTTTGGTGGCATTTGAATAAAAACCACAAAATATGGACTTGTCCAAACTGCTGCCCAGAATCCAACATTCTAAACCAAAACCAAGCAGAGAACCAAGCGAGGTCAGGACTGTTGTTGGAAACACGGCCCCAACAGGAGACCAGGGGGCAATCAATGGGACACTGGTGTCCTGTCCCAGCTGGAGGCATCAGCACCTTCCCAAATACCACAGAAACAGCCCTGGGGGTCTGGAGCAGGGGGGATAAATCACCTCAGCCAACAAAGGAGAAATAGGGAGTGCTGTGATTCTGGAGAAAAACACCTTCCTCCCCTTCCCTTGGGGCCGAGGCCGTTCAACCCAAACTGATCTCTGGGAAAGGGAAGGAATGAACTCTGCAAGTGAGGCCTCCATGACATGTCATCTCCAGCCTGGCACCAACACACTACCCAGAACCAGCCAACAGTGCCTGAGTCAGGAGATGAGTTTGCATCTTTGCTGAAGTAGAGCCATTAATTTAACAGGACAAACAAATACTGAGGTCAGTCATGTTTTCAACTGATTTCCTGAGACATTTGCTCTCAATCCAAACTCAGAAACAATGCACATACACATATGGAGAAGACCATTTTCTTCTTTTTCAACCTGCAAGAACATATCACAATGGGGGGCTTAAATATTAGTTAAGAACTAACTGGAAAGTTTTCAAATCTGAATAACCTTCATATTGATGTTATGACAGTAAAAATAAGGTTTATCAGTTGCTCCTCTAAAACAGCTTCTGTAAGACACTGAAGATGTTATTTTTCTTGTTTGAAGTCAAATATAATGTGCAAGAACTCTGCAGCACATCCCTGATGTGAGAGTGGGTGGCCTGGATGACAGTCTACCAGTGTTCCATCCACCTGACCACGACACACGCACTTGTCAACAGATTCAGGCTTGTGATTTTGGGGAAGACATAATTCTCGGGCCCAGGCCAAAATAAAACATGGCCAGAGGCATCATGAGGTCCAAGGATAAAACTCTGGAGAGAAACTGCAACTAATTCAACAAAAAAATGAATTAGAAGTCCTGAGATTTTTCTATGGAAAATCACTGAGAAGTTTTTGTTATAGAAAAAAGAAAGATGAATTTCTAATGTTTTACAACAAATTTCCAAATTAAAAAAGATCCAGAAAAGTAGTTCTTATGGTCATGTTCAGTGTTGATTTAGAAGCCTGAAACAGAGCCAGCTGCACAACTACAGACACTGCAAGGCTCAGAGGACCAGTCCTGACAATATTAAAATGGAAAGTCTTCTGCTTTCAAATTATGAAAAAAACCAGTCTGAATTTGTTGACTGAATTAGAACATTCCTGTATGATTGACTTGTACACTGATAGTCTGCTTTTCTGGAGAGTCTAACATTTTGTCACTCATTTCAAAATGAGTGACAAGAATGAAAGAACTTTGATGCCAAGACGTGGTTAGTCATTTCAAATTTGTTTCTTAGTAAATTTCTGTGTGTGCAAAATATATATCAATGTTATGTACCACTGCAAACTTTGTATTATACTTGGTTTCGTGTATGCATTAATTCTAGAGAAAATAAAAATCATATTATAGTTTTCTCCATGACATTGTGGTGGCCTTTTGTGCCTGTAACCTTCAACCAAATTTGAGTTTCATCAGTTAAACATATTACAGTTCTATAGCAATATATATACATACAGATACACCTGCAAAATATAAACTGATGGACAGTCAGAGAACTTCAGAACACATTTAAAATTAGAGAAAAATGACTTGAATTTTTGGCAATAGTGTGCAGTTTGTTCTTCACACACATGATTCTATGGAAACAAGAGAAAAGAACAGTTACCAACATGTAAATATGGCAGGTGTTTGTGTAAAACAGGATTATGTTCAATGTTACCCAAGTTTCATCAGGTGCATTTCAGGAAGGGTGATCTACTTGGAATGTGAAAGCTATCCATGAGTTAATACGACCACACATGGGCTTCTTTTTAATTGAAAATGATTATATATTGCATCTGCCTCCTGCTACAAAAAGGAATGACACAAAAGCTGAGGAATCATCCCCCACACCAGTTCTCTCTCTTCATCAATCCCTACATGTAACTGGGTTTTTGACCTTCTCCTCCAGCTTTATTATCATTCACTTCAATAAACAAAAACCCTTCCATGCTACCAGTGAAACTTATGTGAAGGTGCTTCTCCCACCCAAAACTGCAGTAGCTTGAAAGGAAACAACCTCAGAATTTCATCAAGTAAAACATGTGCTAAACCCCTGGATTTCTGGAGCCCTTCCTTGCCAGTCACCTGCAGGAACCTTTGAAAACTTACAGAATACAGGGACAGAAAATGGTCCAAACAAAATATTACATGAAAATAATCATATTGATTTAGGCTGTGTGACCTTCACTGCTGCATCCTTCAGGCCAGCTCACAAGTGTTAAGTTTCTGACACCTATATTACCAGAAAGTTGGGTTTGTTTGGAGGACATGAGCAAGGACAGGCAAGAAGTGGTTTTTGTACATGGCTTTAACATGCAAGAAGTTTAGGGAGAAGTCTCAACAAGTTTTT